AAACCTCAGCAAAGACCAGTGTCAACGTGATCTCGACTAATGACATTTACTCTGACCCACGGTAAACGTACAGTGGAACACAAACTCAATTTTAATTAAATATTTTTTCATTATTTCTGGGAGATATTCGAAATTTAAGATGTGGGTCTATCAATCTGTGATTTTGATAGGTTTGGTTCGAAAAACAATAAATCTATGAACTGAAAATTCGCAGTGCTATTTGCTCTGCATTTTGTAGTATGAAAGTGCGACTTGTCTTCGTCATCTTTAGCACCCATGCAACCCTACAGACTGCTAAAGTCTTGTGCTGTCCGCCCATCTCCATTAATTTACTGTCGAGATGGCAGAGGTTTTGGGTAAAAATTGTTTCTATCTCATCGCATAAATTAGTTAGTGACCAATCAAGAACCACAATAAAAGAGGATACCTCGTAAAATACTGCCGCCAGCTACGCCTCCTTTCAAATCAGCTACCTCAGAGCCAGGCTTGTTAACGTCAAACGAGCGAATAACGATCAACCTGGCGCTGGAGGTGAAGTCCCGAACCGGAATCGGTATTCGTTTGTAGATGTGCTCACAGATGACCTACAATACGAAAACATTATAGATGATGTGACTTGTGCTTGGCATCGTCATCTACTTCAATGTTGTATTTCAGCTGAGCAGATATGGGAACGACCGGCGCGCTCTCGGCGATGGTGCCCTGCACGAATCGCTGTATCTGATCGTACTGCTCACGTGCCTGACTCTCCTTTACGATGTCGATTTTGTTCTGCAGTATCAAGATGTTACTCAGACGCATGATTTCGATGGCAGCAAGGTGCTCGCTAGTCTGAGGCTGAGGACAGGACTCATTTCCAGCGATCAACAGTAGTGCAGCGTCCATAACCGCAGCTCCGTTCAGCATGGTGGCCATCAAAATATCGTGTCCCGGACAGTCAACAAATGAAACGTGTCGAATCAACTAAAAATCAAATAAATGAACTAAAACCAAACAGAAACTAGACGCTGAAAATAAACTTATAAATAAGCATATTTAAGAGCAGATAAGAACACACAATAAGTTCGCTTCAACAAAGGACTAAATGGTGTCATAGTATGAAAAATTTAACTGAAGTGGAGAAAGCGTCCATGAATGAATATCTGACTGAGACATCGAACAACAGAGAATGATGGGCGTAATGACAAACGACCTGTTTAAATCAAATCAAAACATTCAAAACAATCAAAACAGAAATGAAGTAGACAGCTAGAAGAATGGAAAAACTGACCACATAATCTTTGAAAAAAAAATATTTCATAGCCAATATCTTCGCCAACTTCGTCAAAACAAATATTCAGCAAAACTTAAACAGGTTATCTAGGAGGGGTTTCCCTGGCGGATCAGAAGTGCTTATAATAAGACCAACCACCAAGTACGAACTCATCGAAAGACAAGAATCTGCTCATGATAAAAAAGGAGAGATCAAG